GTCATTGTAGGAGGAATGGGGGATTTCTGTAAAGACTACAAGCACTAGTTCACACCCTTTCAAACCCGCCCATAGGGGGTTGGACCTAATGCGCTAACAGACCTATCACAGATCAGTGCCAGTGTGTTTAATTTCACCTGCAGATACTTTTTGAAAATATGGATGAAGGTACTGAATACACAGACGGATGCGTTATGGATAGAGTTGGGTACCGAAACGCGGTGCCAATAGGGAACCGGTTTCGACGTAAACGGTAATAACCAGGCCGAGTAAGAGTGAAAATTTGTCATGAAGTCTCCCGCTCTCTACCTCTCCCTCGTGCGCGCACTAATACGGTTTGGAGCACTATCTGTCTCGCATGCACGCTTTTGCTCACTTGCTCTAAATTCCGGGAGATTTTAACTAATTTGCGGTCATCAGGGAGCCATTATCAACATGCGCGAGACTCCCAGAACGTCTGATAGCCAGGGGATTAATGAAGATGCTGAAGACAATACGCTCCAAGGTTTGGCTGCATTTCACGTGTAAAAATACGCGTCAGAGTGAGAGTAATTGTGCAGATTGTCTGAAGCATATTATATATCAGTCATATTATATTAGCGCGCATTATCTGATTTCATTGTGCAAAATGATTTCCAGGTGGTAGCGTAGGGGGGAGCTCAACTCTACTCTACATTGATGGGCAGAGTAGTGGGAGTGGCCTGTGGAGCTGAGCATTGCAATGCACTATGGGGATTGATGTCTACAATCCACAAGCACTAAAAAGTCATTTTCTGCCTTTTATCGGACAAGAAGGACTCAAATTAGAAATTTATGATACTATTCTACTACATACTGTATATGACCTAACCTGGCCCTAGCCAGATGAATGTCGTTCCGCTTAGCTCCGCCTGGCATCTGGAACCTCTTCCATTGAGAGTGATTTCTCCAACCAACTTTATGGCTTAGCCAATCAGGAGGGCGGGAGTTTCATAGATGTGACGTAGTGGAGAAGCGACCGTGAGACTGTTTTGATTCAGACAACAACGGCGGCTCGCATCGAGGAAGCAAGCGCATTGATGCTGCTATTTCATCCGTGTTGTCCAATCTACCTAATATTGTTTCATTTAATATTTCCTAATATTTCAGTTGCGTCGCTCTCATCAGCGTCACGGGTTGGCTTCGGTGTGAGTGGTTGAAATAGCACGTCGATAAAGATGACAGACAAGTGGCTTATCCAATCATATGCAAGGATTTTTGATAAGGCCCAGCCTTCTGAAACGCCATTTCAATGGATCGGTTCCAGATGGATGAGTGGAGCTAGGCGGAGCGAAATTCATCTGGCTAGGGCCAGGTTATATATGACCCACTTTCAATACATATTCACGCCTCCACCGGTGGAATTACCCTTTAAAACTGAAATGAAACCAAAGACAGTCTCAAAAACGCGGTTTGAAATCGCTGGTGTTTCTGACGTCACAAACTTGTAACCAATCACGTCAATGAATGGAGCTCTGAGCTGTGTTCAGCCCAGACAAAAAGTTGCAAAACGTTTTTTTAAATGGAAATGGTTGTGAATTGAGGATGCAAGAGTTGCAACTAATAGCAACTGAGAAGGCCAATCTTTGTGTTCTTTTTGAACAATTTTCGGAGCCTTATAAAATCGGTTTACGTGTTTAATACTGCAAAATACGCTCGATGCTACAGTCATTGCCCTTGCCATCCAGAATAAAATAGAACATCCCAATCGAGTAAAAAAATCGAGTAAAATTTGTGGAAACTGTGGTTCCTAATTATTGTGATCCAACATTTGCCTCGCATTTCAGAATGAAAAGACAAACATGTCTTCTAATATCTTCAGTTGTTGCGTATACCGAGCTGCAGCGGACACATTTGTAAACGACTTTACTTGGACCCTTTGTGTGAGCTCTTTAATACCACATGGTTTCTATACATGTTGCTGCTGATTGGGCTGACATTGTTGACACACCCACCAAACAAGAGAAAACGTATCTCAAACCCCGTTGCTCCCCGAGCTTGAACGTTCCTGTCCAGGGAGTAGAGGCGGGACCAATTTACATTTTCATAGAACTGTGTAAAGCGTACTAAATGAGGCAAAGGTGTATAGTTACATTCAATCTATTTTAAGGCATAAATTGTTTTTCAATGGAAACTGCTTAATTATGTAATTTTGGTGATCAAAGGTAAGTTTTAAGGGATACAATTATAGACCACTTTAGGCAAGTATTGAATTGTACACTAATATTTTACATTTATTACATTAATTATAATATTATTTATTATTATACTAAATTAGTTAACAGAATTTGCTAAACTGGTGGAATTCAGCACCTCATCTGAGTGTTGTCAAAGTTAACAAACGCAACAATCACGTTCTTGCATGACAAGCCGACAACAGCTTATGAAGCTGAATGGCACTAACTTGAATGAACCCTTTTAACAACCACTTTCCTGTGCAGGTGTGCATCCAAAATGACTGACAGAAAGAAAATTCATCAAAGTCTTCTCACTGGTTTAAACAAAGACTCTGACCGCAGGCCTGTCACATTTGTTTTTGCAATTTATTTATTTCAAGATATTTCAGGACATCTAATTCAGTGATAGCCTAAAATGTCAGATAAAGGGATGTTGTCCAAAATCATTTTTGACATTTTTGCCTTTTAAAACCCCATCTATCAAAATAAAACAAGGGTTTAAACTCCCTAGAAGTCATTTTTAGGAAGGTTATTGTTATTTATCAGCTAGTAACTTGTTTTAGTTCTATAAAAACAGGTTTTGATTTGGCTGTATTTTCATTTTCTGGATGGGCATAAACTTTACTCTCATCAGTATAACAGGCCAGTCCAGATCATACAACATTAAACACCATTTACTTTCATTCTATGGAAGATTTAAAACACAAACACACGTTTGAATTTCTTACTTCTGCTAAACACAAAATATTTTGAAAAACACAAAGATATTTTGAAGAATGCCGGGAACCAAACAGTTAATGGGCCACATTGACTTCCATACACTCTAAAAAATGCTGGGTTGTTTTAACCCAATTTTGGGTCAAATATGGACAAACCCAAAATGTTGGGTTAAAAATGTAATGTAAAAATTTAACCCAACGGCTGGGTTAGTCCATATTTGACCCAAAGTTGGGTTAAAACAACCCAGCATTTTTTAGAGTGTAGTATTTTTTTCCTACTATTAAAATATGGGACCCCACAACTGTTCTGTTGCAGGCATTTTTTGTTTGTTTGCTTTTTTTCACAGAAGAAAGAAAGTCTTACAGGTTTGGAATGACATTAGGGTGTGGTGTGTAAAATTACAAAATGTAAATTTTTGGGTGAACTTATCCCTTTAAGTTCATTACAGTACCATTCTACCAGTTGTGCATCATGCTGAAAGATTTTTACATAGCTTCCTGTCTGCTTTAACGCATTGGCTTGCTGATGATGACATGATAAATTGTGATCTCTATCTAGAATTTGAAATAAAACTGTTAGAAATACCTTTATTTATGTTCAGACATCAATCAGTGTGCAGTAATAGAAAACAGATGAGAAAATTGTGGCAGCAATATTATTATTAACCCGTTACCAAGGAGAGAACTGAATGTGTGAGATACTGAGCGTGTGTCCTGTAACAACCAGAGCCTTTCTGAGCTTACTAGGTAAAGCAGATGTTTACCTGAGATCTTGCCAAAGATATGTGTAACAGGTTGAGCTGTGAAGACCCTGCTTGAATCTCTTCCCACTGGTTCCCCAAAGGCTGAGTGCCGTTTAAGGGCTCCAAACTAGGAGGAGTTCTGACTACTTCATTCTAATACCGCCACATGACACACTGTTGCTGTAGAAACGTGTGTTTGGGAAGGGCGCCATGTGTGCTTTTTTGGATGCTTAGAAGACCCACATGCTCGCTTTAATGTTTTTCATACGTTTCATGTTAGTAATTCATAATTTAGTAATTCTTTAAATTTATTCACAGTTCTTTTTTTAAATCCTGAAAATGTTTAAACATTAACATTGTCATTCATAACATACCTTTCACCAATGGCGGGCAACAGCTAATACAACTCCACAGTCCTCATTTAGAGAAAAGCCAAGTTGTGTGATCATTATGTCTAACTAAACTCAATGTCATTCAGAGCCGAGGCATGTTTGTGAATGAACAATGAGGACGAGACCCGACCGGACGATACATGGCCGCTGGCAAAGCATTAATAAAACAATATGTTTTACAAATGCATGTATTAAAAAGAAGCACCATCTTATGAATTATTACTTATTGCCTAATAATTCAACATCACTGTGTTATTTTTAGGGAAATATACTTTACAAACTATTTTTGATAACTTTTGGACATTTAGAAATACACATTTTAGTTTTAATATTAATAAATACACGGCTTTTTTTTCTTTATGTTAACTTATGTTCATTGTTAATGTCCATAATTTAAAATGTTGAGGTTAAAAAGAAAAAAATCTTTTAAAAATATGTATCGAATGTTACACAAGGCTGCATTTATTTGAACAAAAAAATACAGCAAAAACAATAATATTGTGACATATTCTTTTAATTAAAAATAAATCTTTTTAATATATTTTAAAACTTTTAAAAAAATGTTTTTCTATGATGGTAAAGCTGTTTTTTTTTCAGTCTTCACACAATCATTTAGAAATCATTCTAATATGCTGATTTGCTTGTTGTGTACTTTTTGTATTTGTAACAATATACATACTATATACACACATACACATATATATATATAAATATATATATGTATCTAAAAATGGATTAGTATATATATTAACATAGCTAAAACACTTTTCTGATTATGAAGTCAAGGTCACACAGCAGGTAACATTCCTCAATTGTATGTTATAGCATTTGACAGCCAGAAAGTGCCCAAATACGGTGCATGGACTGGTAAAACAGACATCACATAAGGATGAACCAGAAACTCTAGGTTGTGTGTTTCTATTTTGCTAATGTATTTCTTTCTCTTGAAAGCTTCTCTGTTTCAGACCCTTGAAGTTATGGTAAAGGAACTGAAAGACTTGCAGGGCCCTGAGGGTGATTTGTTGTTAAGGAAACCAGGCAGGAGCGTGTTACAAGGCATCAGTTCACTCCGAGCGCCTGTCCTCTGCTGCGCGCTAGAAGAGCGGGTAATGGATCAGACCGGGGCCCAGGAGACCTCTGCCTGAATCAAACCGTTCAATACGTGCCAACACAGGCTCCTCTGCCTCCGAGCAGCAAACAGAGGCAAGAGCAGTATAGACAGACACCTGATTTAAAACTTCTGCACTGCACACATACACTCACCCTTGGATGTATTAGCATATAACATAGACATATCCTTTAACTCAGAAAAGAAAAACTCACTATTGGACTGGCCTGATTGATTTGTTGTGTTTGTATGTAAGAGGTTGCTGTGCTAACATGGTTTTGTTCCTTAGCCACAGAGGTTTCGTATCCGTCACTGTCCCGTTAAGACTGCCTGCAAATTAGTCTCTGCCATGCTTTTCTTTCCAGGATGCAAAATAAGGGAGTTACAAATGATGAAGCACAGATGTAAACAGAAGTGTGTTTGCCCTCTTTAGGACTAATTTAAGTCCTCCCTGAATTTGATTACTACTAAGTAGATTGATAACTGTTGTAATATCAGCGTGGTTAACTAATTCGCTCTTAGACAAACATTTTATCATGGACATATGATTGCATTCGAAAAGAAAAAAACAGCCCGTTCTCATCCCAAGACGTCATCTAACTGACGCTTTTGACCATACGTCAACATCCGATGTTTTAGGGTACCCTTTAACGTCAGTTAGATGAGACTATCTAATCTTAACCCTTACCCAGACCTAAACCTACCCAGGTCATCTAACTGACGCTAAAGGTAAAGCGTCAGTTAGGTGACGCCCTAGGATCGTCATCTAACTGACGTTAAAGGGTACCCTAAAACGTACGATGTTGCCATATGGTCAAAAGCGTCAGTTAGATGATATCTTATCTGGGTAATGTGGGACATAAACTTCACAAGTTATATGTATGTTAAATAACTGTATTCTAGCTGATTAGTCATGTAATTAAGTGTTGTAGAGTGAGAATCTCAGTAAATCACAAACGTTAGTAGTGCAAAAAAATTCACAGATTGCTCTGATTCACCCTATGTAGAAATAGTCAATAGAGACAATAATGAAATATGAACAAAAAGTCTTAAAATGTATCAATACATTCTGTAATTAAAATTTCATTTGTGAAACTATAGAATTCAAGCTAAATCATTTATTTTTCAATATTATTATTAAAAATCCAAGCTCATTCTTACTGATAGAGTCAAACATAGCTGTTCATTTCTTCTGAACATGAAACATTTATCATTATTGTGCTGCTATTGCGTAAATACAATTATATTATTGTAAACACGTCCACTATTTGGAAAAATTCCCAGTGAGGAAATGCAGTTACAGATTGCCATACATGGTATTTTCCCTGTTGGCACAGATTGTCCAAGTGGCAATGTACATACTTTTCTGTAAAACTGTATTTGAAAAAGTAGATCTATGAATATCATCGATTTACTTTTCAAAGATGCAGCAAAAAAAAATCCAGATGTAGAAGAAACGTGTATAATTGCTCAATTTGAATAGCACAACAGCAAGTGTCTTGTGCAGGAAATATAGAGTCCTTTGAGAGAAGATGAAATGTCCTAATGTGGAAATGTGGCTTAGCCTTAAAGACAGCATATTATTGGTTACAAGACTGGCTTAATTACAATTTATTGTCAATTTTTGAGCAAATGAAAAGTGACAGAAAATGTTACATAGAGGGTATCAGAGGCTCTTGATAAAGTTCTGTTAGCCATGCATTAATACATAATTAAAGTGTATTATTGCGTATAATAAATAATCCAGAATTCTTCGAAAAAATAAGAATACTTAATCAAATACTTATAAGACTCACTTAAAATACTTAAATACTCACAATAAATATCTTACAACATTACAATAATACGGTATAATATGAAGACACTCTACACTAGAATCACTTTGAACTCTCTGCAGCTTAAACGTGCCTGTGAATATGGATATTATTATCAGGTCACTTCCTGAAGACCACTTTAAAAGTGGATAGAGCGGCTGACATTTATCAAAAGGGCAGGAGCATTTCATACCATTAGGGCCTCTGGTTGTTTCTAGAGGGACTCAGCTAAACCAATCTAGAAACCAAATGTCATAGCAGCGTGCTCAGTCTATTCAGCCTGTTTTAAAATCAAAGTGGCGAATGTACTTTGCTTTATATTGATACTACCTTCCAACATCTGAGCGGTGTGGGCCTCTCCCATGTGTTTCTCTGAGGAGAGCTTTCTTCCTTTGCCCTGAGGATGTCCTTGCGTGCTCTGTCGGGCCTCTGCAGCTGTAATTCTGGTGATGCATGTGCTACCCGTGACCTGCCTCGCATTCCTTCGTCTGTGCAGCATTATTACTTGGAATCTTTAATTGCTCAAGACGTTCATTTACCAAGTAAGGGTATCTTGTTCCCCATTAAAGTACTTGCTGTCTCAGTTCTTGTATGTGGATGGATTTAGCTTGGAACGGGGCCTGGTTTCATTGTTGCATTTCTCATTGCTATCTACAAGGGTCAAAGTTCACTCTCACCAAACATACGTCATCGGCAAGACTAACAAATATGTTCTACTCACAAGCAGACTGCTTTAGCTGACTGTAAGTGTATTCTAATGGTCTCAAGTCCATTTTTACTTGTGATTTTGTTCAAAAGTTTGGCGTCAACAAGATTTTTTAAGTATATTAAGGGGCTAAGCACAAAGAAGGCACAATAAGTCATGCCAACTTGGCTGGGAGCATCAGAATAATGGCAACAATGAGCAATTAAAGACATGTGCTATTAAGAAGGATTTTTGGCAAAATTGCTGAAAAAGACAGTCCCTAATAATATTTAATGGATTATTACTTTTTACCAACAATTGGCGCTGTGACCCATTTGATGTGGTGTGGTCAGAGTGAGGTGACAAGGACACGTTGGTGTCTACGTATATGCTAAAGCTTTGCAGAGATACTGTACATCCTCAGTGGTTTTGGCACCGAAACTGTTAAGGTATTCTCAAGTCATGGCTGTCCTAACACACAAGAAGTTTGTTCAGAATACTCTGAAGTGTTGCAGAGATTTAAGTCTGTTCTTCAATTAATTCTTTCATGCGTTATTAGAGAATATTTTGACGAATCAACTTGAATTCCACAACTTTTTGTCGGCCTGGTCTGAAGATGATCTGGTTCATTTTTCTTTAAAGGTGGAGCAATGGCCTAGGAGGAATTCTAAAAAGTAGGTTTTGGGGAAAATCTAAATTGCAGTCAAATTTCCATGACGGAAAATGATCATAGGCATGACCTAAACACTCACCCAAAGCACAAAATTCAGGAGGGTGGTTGATCGAGGAGGTTCAGGGGAGGAATGGAGGGCCAGGCCTGTAAAGAGGATGAGGGCCTGGATCATTGAGCAGAGGGTAGTGTTGCCGTGGTGGACCTGGGCAGTGGTACAGTGGCTGACCTGGATCATGGAGCAGTGGGTAGTGATTTAGTGGTGGACTTGGGCAGTGGTGCAGTGCCAATCCTGTTGTATCATTGAGCAAAGGGTACTGGTACAGTGGCAGACCTGGATCATGTAACAGTGATGCAGTGGTGGACCTGGGCAGTGGTACAGTGGCAGTCTTGGATCATTAAGCAGAGGGTAGTGGTGCAGAGATAGACCTGGAACATGGAGCAGAGGGTAGTTGTGCAGTGGTGGACCTGGATCATTGAGACAATGGTAGTGGTGCCGTGGTGGATCTGGGCAGTGGATCATGGAGCAGTGGGTAGTGGTACAGTGGTGGACCTGAATCATGGAGCAGTGGTGCAGTGGCAGTCCTGGATCATGGAGCAGTGGGTAGTGGTGCAGTGGTTCAGTGGCCATGGAACACTAGATGAGACCATGGAGGATCAGGTGGCCATGGAAGAGTGAGTCAGTAGTGATGGGGTCTAACAGGGCAGAGCTAGCAGATGTGAGGACCACCAAAGCAACACAGATAACCTTGTGCACAGGGAACCCATGTGCAGTTTATTGTAACAGAACACAAAACAAGCTAAACAAAACCATGGCATGAAGTAGAGCACTTAACTTGGACTTGAGCTTGAACAGAACATAAACATAAATCTTAACATTTGAAAACACTTGAATATATGCCTCACCAAAAGAGGTTTCACGAACAAAGCAAGAAAAAGGGGAACACAAGGACTATATAAACACAAAGACTAATGACTAATAAGAAACACCTCAGCCTAATGAACACAGTGAAACAATCAAAATGTGACACATAAGACAAACACAAAGAGCAAAGGAAGAACATGATATGATCACATACAAAAGGACATGAGCAATGCAAAAAACCTAACCATGACAAATGGCTACTGAAAATTCAGCTTTGCTGTCACTGGAATAAATTCAAATTTAAAATTAGATTAGACTTTAGATTATAAAACAGTCATTATTAAATTGTGATAATGTTTTACAATACAACTGTTTTTACTTTATTTTTGATCAAAGCATGAGATACTTTTTTTCATACAAGATACAAGAATCTTGCTGACCCCAACATTTTTGAAGGGATTCCTTCATTATTAGTGTATATTCTTGCTGCTACTTTTCTTATTTCTAATTTGTTAAATTTTTTAGAACTTTTTAAATTCTTGTCAGACTTTTTTAGACTGTTTTAATTGATAAAACTGAATGAACATACACAACACAAATAGAGCATATAACAAAATAGCTTGATAACAAATATATAATGATATAATATAATAATAAAATAATTATTATTATATTTGCCTCCAAATTACCTTTTCCCCCCGCATCTCAGGTTTAGAGTTCTCACAATTTAGAAAGTAAAGGTTGAATGCTGTCAAAATGTGTTTCTTTCGTTATAGGCTAAAGTGTGAATCTGATTGGCATCCACAAAGAACCAAATAAATTCTTTATCAGATGTACAACTTTTAATAAGGACTTCAAGCTCTTAAGGGAGGTTTTTCCAGTAAACTCAAACTGGAGAATGACAAGACATAAAACGATGGCGCCGGTTGCTTCTTGAAGCTTCTTGTGGGGGTACGAAATACAACCCACTGCCTCGAGGATATTAAAAATGAAATAGAGTCATTTTCTGCACAGGGTCAGCCTAAACTGATCTGTTTTTGATTAAAAACAAGGAGCTTAGAGGCTTTCCTGTTGCCATGATAAGGCATCATGTCATAAGTCTGATTTCAGTCTTGGCCATGTGGACAGTAGTAGTGAGTTTTGGCCAAACCTTAATAATCTTCCATCTAAATGTGTGAGAACTCTCTGAACCCAAGTACCAGGCAGTGCTTTTAAGCTTACAGGTTTTGGCTTTGATGGATTTCTCTTACAAACTTCCATTTGAAAAGTCTGTGTTCCTTCCCTTCATTCTCACTGGCTAGAAGAATCCACTTTTTCTCCTAATACTTTCGGAGTTCCACGCTGCCTCAGCGCAGTGGGACTTTATAGTAAAGGAATATTGCAGCTGCCAGTCTCTGCTTTAACCGAGGAGTTTAAGTGTGCCATGGTCAGACTGGAAATTACCTTAGTAGAGACATGCAACAAATGTGTAAGGGAGGCAGCACCTGTGTAAAAAGCTGGTAGAAAGTGGTCAGCGAAGAAATCTGTGGTAGAGGCAAAGGCTGCCCTTCAAATTGGTGATATTGTGGGACAGGTACAGCATGGAAGGGGGGGGGGTGGGCTCAGTTTAGCTCCTCCTAAACGGCACAAGGCAGGCCCAGCTCAAAGGAGGAAGCTGGTAGTCA